GACGAAGGAGACCAGAGTGACGGGAGAAGAGAGAGAAGGGAGAGAAGCCATAGGCGGTGGTGAAGAAGGAGTGCAACGAAGGAGGAGGTGGGCAGGCAGAGATAGATCGAAGCGAGCGAAGAAGTCTTTGGTTTTGAGGAGGAGAGGAAGCGAGCGATCGAAATGGTTTCTTCTGGTAAGTACCAAAACTATTATTTTCTTCTTCTTCTTCTTCTTCTTCTTCTTCTTCTTTTGTTCCACATTCATTTCTTCTTCTTCTGCTTCCTCTTCTTCTTCTTCTTCTTCTTCTACTTTTCTTCCACATTCTGTTATTCCTCTTCTTCCCACTTCTGCCCGCTTCTCCCCACTTCTGCTCTTTTCTCCCCACTTCTCCCCGCTTCTCCCCACTTCTCCCCGCTTCTAGCGACTTCTCCCCGCTTCTCCCCACTTCTCCCCGCTTCTCCCCGCTTCTCCCCGCTTCTCCCCACTTCTCCACGCTTCTTCCCATGCTGTAGTGCAAACTCCCTACGATTATTTCGCCTAGGCTCCGGATCCGGATCCCGATCCGGATCCTGATCGCCACGTGGACTTGCCACGTGGCAGCACCTACCTCCACCTACCTCCGCCGACCTCCGCCCCCCCCCGCTTCCGCTTGCGCTCCCATCAAGGCCCTACCACATGGCAGCGCCGCTTCTCCCCGCTTCCCAATCCCAATCCGCTTCCCAATCCTGATCCGCTTCCCAATCCCATCTCCTCCTACCTCCGACCGTCTTCACCTACCTCCGCTGACCTCCGCCCCCCCCCGCTTCCGCTTCCGCTTGCGCCCCCATCAAGGCCCTGCCACATGGCAGCGTCTACCTACACTTCTCGATCCCAATCCGCTTCGCAATCCCGTCTCCGCCATGTGGAAGCGGATTGGGATTGGGAAGCGGAGGTAGGCCTCGGGCAGTTGTTGCTGCCCCGGTTGCCTCCCTACTTCTCCGCCGACCTCTGCCCGCCTCCGCTTCCGCTTCCCAATCCCGATCCGGATCCGGATCCCGATCCTCTTCCCCACCTTTGCCCAACTCCGCCCACCTCTGGCCACTTTCGCCTACCTCCGCCCGTCTCCGTCGACCTCCGCCCCTCTCCGCTTCCGCTTCCCAATCCCGATCCGGCTTCCCAATTCGCTTCTCAATCCCGATGCGGCTTCCCAATCCCGATCCGCTTCCCAATCCAGATCCGCTTCCCAATCTCAATCCGCTTCCCAATCCCGTCCCCGCCTACCTCCGCCCGTCTTCGCCTACCTTCGCCGACCTCCTCCCCCCCCCACTTCCACTTCCCAATCCGCTTCCACTTCCGCTTGCCCATCAAGGTCCTACCACGTGGCAGCGCCGCTGCGCCGCTTCCCAATCCCGATCCGGATCTCGATCGCCGCTCCGCATCGTCCGGACACCCACAGCACGCCATCTTCGTTAAGGACCAACAATTTTGACGTTGGTGGCTCTTATGGTCGATCGCCTGTCCTGCATTGTAGATTCGCAGATGAGTCCCTGCACAGGACAAAGGCGATACAGAGAGAGGAGACGACCGATGAAGGGGATGCCCACCTTAATCGTGAGGAGGCATGGTTGCAGTCTATGCTGAGGTGGGAGGGGAGAGAGGCATACGAGGCCGAGCAGAGTAGGCTGAGGGAGTTGGACACCAACGAACTACGGGCTGGTGGTGGTTCGCAGATGGATAGTGGTGGACCGGTCGTTAGTGTGCAAAGCGATTGTCCGTGGAGGGGAGCGTGTACCCAAAAGTGGGGGTGGCACTGGAGGTCGGCTAGATGGAGATGACGACGATAGGGACGCAGGAGCTGATAGCTCGGACAACGACGATGGGGGAGAGGTCCCAGACCATGGTATCATCAACAGAGTGATCGTTGGCGTTTGCGCGACGGACATGGAGGGTGGGATGCCGGGAGCCCATGGTACTTCGCACTGTTCGCAGGTGGGGGATGCCATTATGGAGCATGAGGCAGGGTTGCGGAGTGATCGTTAGGGCAGTGACACTAGTGCAGGACACAGTCCTGTCATGGAGAATGAGGTCCACGTTGACGAGGAGGAACGGTCGTCCCCACCGCGGGACGCAGCGGGAGACATGTCCCTCGCGTTGATTGTGAGGCCTCCATCAACTTTTTACACCGATGAGGGCCACGTGGGTTGCCGGTTGGACGAGAGGATGGGGGAGTCCACCCCACCCGCTCTTGACCCGGAGCAGTTAGAGCGTGCATGGATGGGCGACCCTTATGATCACACAGGTCGGAGGACTGATCCCCACCGACCGCCAGATGGATTCACATTGCCTCCCATGTGGGTGCCTGAGAGCCCTCCATGCTCAGGGTCATCACGCAATGATGTCGGAGGGGATGAGGCCTCAAACAGAGAGGCGACAACTGTTTCTAGGCGGAGTTCGGCAACAGACATGCACCGACCACGTCCACCGTCGTTGTGTCCATCACCACAGCACGGGCGTACCGACGGCAGAGTAGTGACTGCAATGATATTCGACAGTCGAGGGGCATCAAGTGGTGTGTGGTCGCCTTCTAGACGAGTCAAAGACCGTTTGAGGAGGGATTACGACAGGGGACATGGGCTATTTGCACGAGGTTTGTCAGTGGGGGCAGATGTGGGGGGTGTGCGCGTTGCAAAGGTGGGACGACCCATTATGCACACGACAGCACGCATCCGGGGATTGTCGGACAGACAGGCGAGGAGGCAGGTGGTATTTTCGGCCCCAAGTGTTGTTGTTGATAAACGTTGAGGATTGCCTTACACATTGGGCGAGGAAGGCGATTTACATATGCCAGCAGGGGTGCGACGTCACGGATCCATCAGTGGCCTAGAGGCTTAGATTGCTGTCGAGCAACAACGTTTGGATGAGTTGGTTCGAGAGCGTGATAGGCTGGTCGAGACACAGGCACACGGGGACGAGGCGGACACAAAGACAGAGCCCATCGGTGTTGTTGCGGGGAGGGACAAGGCCAAGAGAGCAGCGGTGTCGAGCGCATCGGTCCCGTACCGCACCAGGGCAACACGGGACCCTCCCGGCCGCGTCACGCAGGAGTTGGTTTAAATCCTTTGTCGCAAATATACATATGGAGCTTTCGCAAGCCGCTCCGGCCGAGTGCGCCAGCCATACCTCTCGCGAGCCCCTACGACAGGATAGGGCCTACGCGAGGCACGACTTACCTCCACCTTACGAGAGTTGTCACCTCCCTTCGGTGGGCGTATCCCCGCCGAGCTACCAGTACACAGTACGAAAGCTAATCAGTTGCAATCGTAGAGGTGGACCAACCGAGGGCGTTTCTCGTTCGTTGTATCATAGGGGGTACGCGCGGTAATACGCCTCTATCGGACCTGCACGCGAACCGACATCTTGGGGGGCTGAAATCCCGAGCGCGACCCGTCGTCGGTCGACTAGGACGCATCCTACACACCACGCGCACACCTGCAATCACATCAAAGAGTCGAACAACAGTCCACGCACGCACTACACGGAGTCAACCCCAACCAATCTCTGCACTCATACCCCTCGCTTTAGCTATGCAAGCCCCAACCTCCTGTCCAACCAACCATAATTAAATACTCAGTACTTCTGTTAAATGGTCATTCAATAAAAGTCCTGGTGAAACCTTAATGAAACAATGAAAACCACCAGGGCTAAAGCCTTTTTAGGTTGAGTGTGGGGGATGAGTTGGAATTGAGTCGTAGACCAACGAATCGGCAACCGACCTGTTATCAATGATAACAGATGATGATCCTCAAGGGATCAAGCTGAATCTAGTCTGGATCTTGAATCAAATGATCATGAGGGTATGTAACACATGATAGGTCAATGCCCCAGGCTGAATCTATAAGTTCATGGAGAACAATCTCCATATCGTGATCTTACCCAAATCATCCTAGTAAACTATGTCTACCTCTAAGCAATATGGCAAAATCTCCCCTATTCAGAGTGGACTATCAAAATCACCACCTGTCAAAATATAATCGATCTCCTTTAAACTAAGAAAATTTCGACAACGCTTCCCGTAGGAAAAGTGTCTTTCCAGAATTTATATTGGCCCAAATATGAAAGTAGAAATAAACTTTAATTCTGGAAAGTCCAATTTTGTCTAACTCCCTGAATTAGTAAAAATTTGGGCAGCACTCCCTTTAGAAAGGGAGGCTTCCCAGATTTATACTAAGTTAAATATGAACTTCAACAGACAACTTGAGTTCAACTTTAGATAGGATTTAACTAAACTCCTTAGTTTTGCAGAAATTTTGGCAGCACTCCCTCTAGAAAAGTGTTATTCCAAAATTTATACAAGGCTAAGTCTAGAATTCGAAAGTAACTTTGACTTCTCAAAGTCCAATTTTGTCTAACTCCCTGAATTAGTAAAAATTTGGGTAGCACTCCCTTTAGAAAGGGAGGCTTCCCAGATTTATACTAAGTCAGATATAAGAAAAAACAAGTTGAACTTTCGACGAGTCAAAATTTGACTAACTCCTTTGATTTGTAGAAATTTTGGCAGCGCTTCCCGTAGAGAAAGTAGTTTACCAAGATTTATACAAACCCAAGTATAAGAAGGGATCCCAGAAAATACAAGAATTGACCTAAGTAGAAAAAGTTACTATAGAAAATGTAGGAATTGAAACTAACTCCTATGGCTCTAGCATGTGGCGAGCAACTAAAGCAGCTACCTATCAAACTGAAACTCAGACAGGGTAACAACCTCACTCAACCACATGCAGGCCATACCACAAAGGTAAGTACTCTCACCATCCCAAAGTATACCTGAACAAACAATAGTTCATAATCTTTCAATGACTTAATCTCTTATACCCAGCTTACATAAGGCATAAGGTCAGGACACCCAAACTTATGGAATGAACCTTACCTTAGCCAGGCCTAAAGTTGGGCCACCCAAACTTATGGAATGAGTCCAACTTAGCCAAAGTATACACAAACACAGGGCACAACAACTTTTCTCTTCTTTGGGCGCATGACTAGACCACTCCAGTCGCCCTGAACTGTTTAAGTATCCAAGTTATATATATTGGTCTTCCCCTTTGTCTTTTAAGGCTATATATGACTGAACTAACTTAAGTTCAGTCTGCCCCAGTTTACCATCAATTTTATTCTTAGTTATACTCTCTTCAAGTTGTGAAAGGCTATAGTCAGACCACCTAAACTTATAGAACAGCCTGATTAGCTCGTTCTTAGATAGAATAGTAGTACAATATAGCTAAGTTATAACCATTGGGATCCAGCATGTGCGAGGCTTTGAGCTAGACCCCCTGAACTTACTGAAGGATCTAACTCTCTGCCAATTTCATTGCTCTCTGAATCATCATGTGTGTGGCATAGAGTCAGACCCCCTGAACTTACAGAGGGGTCTGCCCTTTGCCAAAGATTACTTCTTCAGAATAAAAGCAAGAAGAGATCGAGCTACCTGAACTTACAGAACAGCTCCGTCCCCTTGTTCAGAAACAAATAAAACTTAAGAAAACCCAAGAAACAAGGCAACTCAGGGCACCAAAACTTATTGAATGCCCCGAGTCCCTGAAAATCAGGCACAATCAGACCCTTCACAAGTCAGAGCAGTTAGGCCACCTAAACTTATAGACCGGCCCAACCCTCCAGGCAAACCACAACACCAGGTCTCCCCAAACTTATGGGGATATCCCAGCCTCCAGAGCAATCAAACCCCCTAAACTTATAGAAGGGTCTGCTGCTCCATGCAAACCAAAATAAACAAAGCACTGGGTCTCCCCAAACTTATGGGGACCTCCCAGCCTTAAGGACTCAGTCAACCTTCAAGCAAAACAACCCTCCATCCTGCCTTTCCCCAGATGCAGTTCTTTTCAGCAATCTGAATTCACACAATCAATAAAGTTGAAACTGAAACTTGAACAGACATTCCTTTTCTTAGTCTTGTTCAGTGTCCTGAAAGTCGAACGAAAAAATAAAGTAGGGCTGCACATCATATATCCAGTCAGAGATGTATTGGGTGATACAAGTAGGGGCTATAGCTTGAGTGTATAGAGGGAAAGCAATGGTTACCTATCAGTTCCCTGCCTTCAGAACTCCTCTCGAGTTCCGGCAGAGCTCCCGCAATCGGTGGGCTGACTCCCTACAAAGTCTTGATGCGGTCCTACGGGTTGCAATCCCGCCTGCCGCCTTCCTCTCAGATCAAGACTAGACTTAGAGTAAGAAGGGTAGAAGGAGATGGTTTGAGACTCTAGAGATACAAGAGGGAGACTGACTCAACTCCCAGGAGAGGGCCTTGTTATCTTGCCGCGTCTGAGGGCCCCGCAATGGTAGCCAAGTCGCAGCTGCTTGGTCAAACCAAAATCAACCCTACTGACTCCAAATCTCCCGATGAATTCCCGAACTGCGGTAGCAAACCCCCCCGCCTCTCTCAGGCCTACACCGCCCTTCCTCGGGATTTGGTTGCAGCTATACAACAGTCTCAACGTTAGTAACTTCGCGGAATCTCAACAGCCCACCATATGTACTACACTTTGCATGCAAATGCCAGGCGCTGCAACGACGTCCGAAGCGAACCTCCACCCGCTGCCGTACTGCACTTTGCGGGGCACAGCACCACAACACCGCTCGAAGAACTATAACGGCCAAATTCCACCCTGCGCCTCTCTTAGTACTCCATGCTAACTAAGTCGAATGTGCCCCCGCCCGCAAGAAAATGGTCCTATATGCCGCTTTCTGACCATGCGCGCAGAAGGGTCATATGCAGGAAGTGACTCTCCGAGTTGCAGGTAAACTCCTCCAGAATGCCAACTCCAACTGCAATGGGCAGTCGTGCCCCCCTCCCGCTTACACCGCATATCCGCAGTCGAACTTAACAAAAGCCTCCCCTGTGTCCACCATCGCTGCACACTTGGAGCCCTTCACTACCAAATCCACTGTGCCGCAGGCCACACACTTCCAGTCCATCTTCGTGCCCGACTCTGCCCACTCCGCCTCCTTGGGCAGGATCGTACCCAGATGGACGTTGGGCACCAGACGTCGCGATAACCTCCCCTTCAATCCATCGCGGAGCTTAGGGGCCTACGCCAAGATTTCCTTCAAGGTCATGAGGTCGTTATGCCCCTCTAACAACCTGTCGATCACCTTCTCTACGTCAAACCCTTCTTCCAGCCGAACCGCGTATTTCTTCTTCTTGGGCGGCACATCGCGGAGGACTGGCTCGGTGTCTTCCCTAGCTTCCCTCTTCTTAGCCCTTTGCTCCGCCCTCTGGTCCTCTTCCTGGCGCAGCCTCTCATCTTCTTCCTCCTCGCCGTCGTCATTCTCTACTTCCACTGCCTCCTTCCTCCTTCCTGGCTCAGGCTCTCTCTGGGGAGGTTCTTGGCTAGCCCTGGCCTTAGCTTGACTTCGCGTTCGCGCTACCTGCGCCAGCCGGGCTTGTGGGGTAAGGGGTCCCATCATCATCCCTGATCGTGGGCCCAACCCCACTACATTTACTCCGGGTCGCCCGGGCGCTGACTCCGGGCCGGAGTCATAAAGGAACACCTTGGGGACGTTAGACCTCCATTCCCTTATTCCCTCGCAGAGGTCCACCAACTTCTGTTGGTACCTCCCCATCTTGTCCAACAAGTCCTCCATTTTCCCCAATAAGGCGGACAGAGGTTCCATCTTTTCTTCCTCATTCTCGTTGTCCGACTCGATGATTATGGGCTCTTCCCTCTTATCTCCTTCTTGTAGCCCCTGAGTTACTTCCTCATCACTCCCCACTTCCTCTACCCCAATTGATGGTCCTTCCTTTTCCTGCCATAACCTGAACGTGGCAGGGGGTGGCGGACCGGCTGCCGCTCTTCGTTGGGCCTCCGTTCTCACTCTGCCAAGCTTCCTGTCAATAAAATCTCCAAACTGGTCATAGATGTTTCCATCCATGGTGGAGGAAATCAGCCCGTTCTTCTCATCCTCCCGCCTTATGTTACAAAACCTAATAGTGTGGCCTTGCTGGTAGCAATGTTGCCAGATAGCCGACCTCCAATCAAAGCGGGCTCTTTCGTACCCCTGACCTCCTTGATCCCCCTGGCTTTGGTTCCCCTGGCCTTGGCTCCCCTGGCCTTGGCTATTCCATTGTCCTACTCGACCGCCGCCATTCCTGCCTCGTCCCCTTCCACCACCCCTTCCTCCATTGCCTTGATTGCCCTAACCCTTGTTCCCACCTCCAACCACGCTCCCTTGCGAACTAGGACCGGGTGATGGAGGCGGGGCCATAGGCTGGGCCTGGGCTGCAGGATAGATAGGGGGCGGCATACTCGTTTGCGGCCCAGCATAGGGTACTACCTGTCCAGAAGGCGTCGGCCCTCCCCAAGGTACATAGATGTTGATCACGGGTCATGGCCACTGCCCGAAAGGTGGTACTGGCGCCTGCGAAGGGCCTGCACTACTTGAAGGTGTCGATGCACTCGGGGAGGCAGCTACCACTGCTTGGGGCATCTGGCCCTTACCTGAACCTTGCCCCCCTTGCGTCAGATTGCGCTGCTTTCGCTGCACCTTCGAGAGCTGCGGAGGCACCGTCTCCTCTTCTTCCCACCCTTCCTGGGTAGCCTCCTCTATCACGGCCTCTTTGGCCTTTCCCTGAATTATCGTTGCCACCTTTCTTTGTATCACCGGGTCGAACTCTGTTAATATATCGGTGATAATCTTTCTTACCCCCGGAGTCCCGGATGCCGTAGCATCCCTCTCCTTTCTCTTCTGTCTTTGTAGCCGTACCTGGTGCTGCTCCACCTGGTCTAAGCTTCCATCTTCCACCCCTTTATCAACGGTGGCCCAGGTGAGCTTAGCACTCCCTCCTCCATAACTTGTCAACTCCTGGGCCTCTGACGCAGTAAGCAGTCCCCAAAAAGATGGCACACTACATCTCCTCTGAGATCCCGTGGACCTTCCTTGCCCTTTTCTTAAATTCTTGTACAAAGGCCCCTATCGTAGTAAAGTTATCTTTGTTCATTGCCTCCAGATCCGCCGTGGTTAGCAGGCCATCGCCCAGTCTATACTTCCTCTGCATTCCCTCTCTAAACCTGGCCCAATTGCCATTGGCGTCGTTGACCACCCTCTGCACCTCCTGATGGTGCCCATAAAGCACATATCTCATGATCCGCTGGAATTTCACCGCATCCGCCAGTCCCACCATTGCTTGTTCCACCTGATCCAGCCAGTCTGAGACTCTTTCTCCATTGAAGTGAAAGGTGTCGACCTTAGGGACATTGCTTGGAGTCTTCTCATGCCGGTCAATAGCCGCAATAAGATCCTCGAGCGTCAGGACCTTCCTGATGCCATCCGATACACCGCCGCTCTCCAGCCTCTCCGACATCTTGACAGACTTTTCTCTTCAAACTCCCTGTTAGAAGAAAAACAAGGACACTCACCTATTCAGCATCCTACCTACAAAGGGTCTATCCTGTATGTCCTCCCTAACTTCCTCATATACTTGCCTGACACGGATACGGTCGTCCCTCGTAGCTTTCCTAGCTCAGGTAGGAAAACAGGATGGACATACAAAGTCACTAAGCCTTTCTCACCTATACTTAGTCACTCATTATTTTCCTTACCCTCTCGTCATTCCCTTATGCCTATTCCCATTCAATCTCATATCCGGATGTCATTCCACCAGGGACAACGGTAGGCTTCCGTTATCCCCGACAACGGCGCCACCTGTCGAGCGCATCGGTCCGGTACCGCACTAGGGCAGCGCGGGACCCTCCCGGCCGCGTCACGCAGGAGTTGGTTTAAATCGTTCGTCGCAAATATACATATGAAGCTTCCGCAAGCCGCTCCGGCCGAGTGCGCCAGCCATAGCTCTCGCGAACCCCTACGACAGGATAGGGCCTACGCGAGGCACGACTTACCTCCACCTTACGGGAGTTGTCACCTCCCTTCGGTGGGCGTATCCACGCCGAGCTACGAGTCCACAGTACGAAAGCTAATCAGTTGCAATCGCAGAGGTGGACCAGCCGAGGTCGTTTCTCGTTCCCTGTAGCATAGGGGGTACGCGCGGTAATACGCCTCTATCGGACCCGCACACGAACCGGCATCTTGGGGGGCTGAAATCCCAAGCGCGACCCGTCGTCGGTCGACTAGGACGCATCCCACACACCAGCGCACACCACTCCAACAAACACAAAAATAAAACACACACACGTACACATACGAAACAACATAAATACAAATAACGCGACAACGCTCCTAGCCCCTCGGTAGCCGTCCCATGACTTTCCGATGCGGAAATCGGATAGGCGTCGCGCGCGAGACTTAGTACAAAACCGCGCGGACGCAGGGCCTACTCATATCGACTAGCAATGCAAACGTATGCAAGCAGTCGCAATGATGGCGTACCATGTAGTACCCATACTCATGCGGTCCTCGTTAATCTCGAGGGTCGCATTCGACACTCAAGTGTCGGCTGACACGCGCCTTGAGGGTTAATCTCTCGACGCTGGACAACCGCCAAGCGCAGTTTATTTTATTTGTAGTTGATATGTCACGAACCTGTCCGGTGCAGTTGGCGTAGGTATAACGTATTTTATCCTGGTCTTGTACTGTCAGCAGGTCTTTGTCCATGTGGAGTAGGTGGGGAGGAGTTAAAGACTTCTAGATGACGTCACCTTTGTTTTCTGTACTTTTTATGTTATTTTATCTCAGGTTGGTACTTTAGTCTTTAGTTTTTTTTTTTTCTTTACTTTATCTGTAGCTAATATGCCACGAACCTGTCCGGTACAAGTGGAGTGGGTATGTTGTATTTTATCGTTGTTTTGTACTGTCAACAGGTCTTTGTCCATGTGGACGCAGTCATACAGGTGTTTCATTTGGTGGATGCATTCCAAGGTGGGGATGTGATGTTACTTATACTCATGATACTTATTACTTAGTATTTTTCGTATATCGACACACGTAGGCCTTATTGTGCCACTTGGTTGTTTTGACTTCATTCACTCATCTCCCTTTCTATATGCTTATGAAACGCTATCGCGCGACATACCCGAACATGCTCATGTATGGTGGTTGATATTGGTGTGTGACACTGTGTATTTTTGTGGTTATGTCGTTAATTGAGCCCTCGAACCTCATGTACAGTACATTTGATGTGTGGTCTGATGTTGTTCAAGCTTTGCGTGATCCATTGCACTAACAGTCTAACACTTGTTTTGTGTGGTATTTTTTTTGCCCCTTCGTTGCCAAAAACTTTATTAAAGCCCCATTGACCTACCGAAGAATGGACCCTCGCACCCATAGACACCCCCTACCACCCCCCACAACACCCCCACACCYCCCCCAAGGACCCCAACCAACCCCGCCCCCCCCCCACCCTCCCCCACCTACTGGCAGCAGACCCTGGCTACGTGAGCAACCCATAACTGCTGAAACACAGACCTGAAGTCTAATCTTGAGGATATATTCGGCCAGCTCGAGCTCTACTTCATATTCACTGCCTGCCTTGATTTTGGTGGGGGGGTCTGGGCTAAATGGCTGCGAGGACCCTTCAGATAGCCTGCATGGGCCGTATGAGTCGTGTTAGGGGGATTCCCCCGCCCACCTCAAAAAGAAAAAAAAAGGACCCTTCACACATACACACACACACATTCACACACACTCATTCACACACACACAGACACACAATTTTACGCACACACTTTTTATTTTTTATTTTTTTTTTGCCCGTTTTGCTTGGGGCATTGGCCCACAGCCCCCCCCCAAGCACCGCCGCCGCTCCCCACACTGCCCACCCCCCAAGCACCACCGTCACTCCCCACACTGCCCAAAGGCCCCCCCCACCCCGCACAACCCTCTGCGCAAACGCGTCAAACACGTTCACGCACGTCCAGTGAACGCGCATTCACTGCGTTCATACCCTGAACGCGAAACGCGCGTTCCATGAATGCGCGGTAACACAGCCGTCTCGACAAAACGTCAAGTTAGGATGTGGGCGAACTCGGGTTGCTGTTTGGATCCACGGGGCATTTGGAAGGTCCCGGCCAGAGCAAATGATAGGTGAAAACGCGAAGTTCGCTGGGATCCGAACTTCACGGGGGCGCTCGAGAGAGAGAGGCAGGATCTGTGGATGTGTGGTTGTTAAAATTCTGGAGACACCAGGAGGACTGCATTCGGATCGGCGGTCGGACAAAACTGCGAAGTCCGCCGGCATCCGAACTTCAACTGGTGTCCAGTTCCTCGATATGTGAAGTTCGGCAGCAGATGCGGCCAACGTTTGGAGGTCGGATTCGGCCAAGCATATTCGGTCACTCCGTTTCGGCGAAACGTCAAGTTCGGATGTGGGCGAACTTGGGTTGCTGTTTGAATCCACGATTCCATGGGGCACCAGGAATGTCACCTGGCCACGACCAGATTGAATGATAGGTGGAAACGCGAAGTTCGTTGGGATCCGGACTTCACGAGGGTGCGAGAGAGAGAGACAGAGAGAGAGAGAGAGACAGGATCCTTGCTTGTGTGGATGTTCAAAACCATGAGGCACCAGGAACACCATGGTCGTACCAGTTGTCAGGTGAAAATGCGAAGCTTGCCGGAATCCGAATTTTTGCTACTCTTCTGTTTCGTTATATGTGAAGTTTGGCAGCGGATTTGGCCAGTGTTTGAAGGCCGGATTCAACCGAGCTTGTTCGGCTGCCACGTTTGGACAATACGTGAAGTTCGGATGCGGGCGAATTTGAGTTGTTGTTCAAAACTCGGGGCCAGCAGATATACCACAGTCGCATCAAAGGCTAAGCGAAAATGCGAAGTCCGTCGGGATCCGGATTTCACGGGCACATACGCACACCGGGAGATATGAGAGAGATAGAGAGAGAGATAGAGAGAGAGATAGAGAGAGAGATAGAGAGAGAGATGGAGGGAGATGGAGAGAGATGGAGAGAGTCCGCCGGAATCCGAACTTCGTCGTCACATCGGCGGGCACATGCTTACGTGTTTTCACCCGGATTCGTCACATGAGGGAACGAATGTGTGAGAGAGAAAAAATACAGATCTAGGCGAACTTCGACATTGCCTCGGACTGTCACGATTCGGCCCTGAGGGTTCGTCTATGAACAAGGTTCGATGTGGCCCGATAACTATTGTTGGCCGTCGGACTGTCACGATTAGCTTTCCCTTTTGATGATCTTTCGAGATGGGGAGATGCCCGCGATCGGTGACAGCGCTGGGAGGTGCTGGCCATCCCTGTGTGAAGAAACGACTTGGGATTGGAAGATTCGGTGTTCTCCGTGTGCGGGCGCAAAAACGGCTTTCGTGCTGATTTCCCGTTGGGAAGGCGGTTAAATGGGTTCAAACGAGAAATATTTGCTGGTCGACGATCAATGGTTGGGTATACGATCGAACAGTGGATCAGTCATCAATCTAATGAATGGTACACTATTTGATTGCCGACCCAACAACTGTTCGCCGGCCACCAAATCTCTCTCGCTTGAACTCTACCCTCTCCATTGCTCATTCTACTGCTTGTTTGTTTCCCTGGCCCGTAGATTGATTGAACCCTTGTTTGCGGCTTTGAAATGGCCTGTGGCCTGAATGCGATGCACATAAGCAGACACAAAACACAAAAACACATGAACACGAGCGCACAACCACGTTCCAGTCGAACCACACATGAACACAAACACGACACACGAATTGTCCATCGATCGACGAATCTGGCACGACACACGAAGTTTCCATCGATCGACAAACCACACAAGACACACGAGCACGAACACGATCAATAAACTTAATGACTTCACTACGACACAATCTCGAGAATCGCCCAGTTCGTCGCACGTTTGGTTTGTCGTCGGGGGCTAGGACAGACGCCAGCAAAAGCATTGTTTCAAGGAGGTGATTGACGCACAGGCACCAGCATCTCCGCGAACGCGCGCACTCGCCAGCATACACAATCAATCACATTCATTTGTTGATTGGAAAACAACACCATTCACTGCTCTGTTCGGATCCTTCTTCGTTCGACTGTTCGTTGTTGGTTCGATCGATCGACCAGTGACCTGTCGATTGATGGAGCGGTCGATTGGAATTGCAATTCGTTGTTTGCTGGGTATTGGGTTGAGCGAATCATGTTGCCGACATGGAAAGGCTTTCGCGCATAAACCACCATAATTACATACGAACACAAACACAACCAAACACAGTCGCACGAGCGCTCACGAACCCTCCTTAACACGAGCACATACACAAACTCAAACACAAACACACACGCGCACACCACAGCAAACATCATGCACACACACACACGCAAAGCCCATTGCCACTGCGGATGTTGCAATCGTCGTGCGCAAGCGCTTTTCGTAGAGACTCACCGGTGTGCAGATCTCCTGATGTTGGGTGTAAGTGCGGGGCTGGAAACCACCGCGCGGGGCGTTGTTGTTGTGGCGGGACGTGCCGACAGCGTATGCAAAGCGGTCAAGTGGCTCGTGTCACTCGCAGGTGTGGGCGTGCACAGTGATGACACGCGCAGTGCAAAACACTCTAGGTAACAAACAGGCGTGGGCGTGCGCAGTGATGACATGCGCGGTGGCTGTGACAACAGCAGAGGACGCGCGTCTGCGGCTTTCGGGCTGCGAGTGTTGGCGATGGCGTCAATCACAATGAAAGACGGGCGATGGCATTGGCGGCAACGAGAGTGCAGGACGCCAGTTCGACAGCATCTCCCCAGTGAAATGAGAAAAGGCGAAATGAGCGCTGGGGGGGGGCGGCTTTCTTTTATGGGCTTCCGCATGTGGGCCCTCGGCACTGGGCCCGCTGCTCCGACTGGACGGCCTTTTTCAAGATTGTGTCCAGGCAGCCGTCGTGACAGCAGGCTTGTGGAAGTGATGACCGTGGTGCCGTCGGAAAGCTTTGGGAACCGGTTCGGGGATGGGGCCAAATTTCCTCCGCGTGAATGTGCGAGGCCTTGACGGCAGCAATCCTATGCGTGCTTCGTGAAAGTGATGGGGTGTGGGCCCCGCGGAAAGGGGTGACAAATTCGTGAGGCTTTTGATGAGCCGTTTGATTCGCCG